TCGAGCCATTGTGTATGCAGCGCGTGTCACCCCGAGAGGCAGAGGCCGGCCTGCCCCATCGATCCCCACGGCTGCAACCGAGATGCCTGCCTCCCGTCATCGCTGCTGAGAAAATTGGGCAGGGGCTGTCATCTCCCTCCTCCTCCCCACATCCTTCCTGCAATAACCCCCTCTCTGTGGCTGATACAGAGCGGCCTCACGTCTGCTCCTCAGGCCCCGGAGTCCTAGGGTGGACCTCAGGGTTGTCACCGGCTCTGTAGCCGTCCCGTGAGGTGGGGACTTGGGGGCTGAGTCACTTACCTAGGAAGGCACAGCCAGGAAGCGGCAAAGCTTCGCTGTGTGCCCCGGGTGTGTGTGGGGTGTCGGCCATCTCACAGGGAGCCTTCAAGGAGCCGTCCAGGGCTGGGAGGTGGACGCGGGGGTGGGGCCCCCTGGGCGGGCTCCTGGTGACAGCAGGCCACAGGCGCTGGAAAGGAGAGAGGGCTGTATGGGGGGACAGGGGACTAGAGGAGGTGTGAGTGGGGCGGGAAGGTAACCGCAGGTGGGGGGCTGCACCAGGGCCTGGGGTCTCTGCTCTCCCTCTGCTCACCACAAAATCCAGGGGGCCCAGGGCTGGCCGTGAGAAAGGTGGAAGAGACCCGTCTGCTCCAGTCTCCACCTTCTGGGGACTCAGGGGCACCAACAGCTTTTATTAGAGACCAGGGGCTTCAGAAGTCCCCCCCGGGGGCTGGCTGAAACCTGGCTCCCGTCAGCCCTTCTCTCTCGTTCTAGCTCCTTCTCTCTCGTTCTAGCTCGTCCTCATGGTGCCCCATGGAACCCACGTGTGTGTCTCACTGTGGCAGCCAGAGAGACAAAGGCAGATGGGCCCTGGCTGCGACCCACCGGTACTTCCCTTCCCAGATCTAGAGCCTTCCCTGGCCGTGACGGTGCTGTGTCCTTCCCAGCCTCACGGGCAGCCTCCAGGCGCAGGGCAACCCCGGGTCAGAGCCGATACCTGCCGGTTTCCAGCTGCCGTCGGTTGTGATCTTGCCCAGAGCCGGGGCCAATGCCACCCAGCAGCCCCTGGTCAAGGCTCTGACAGTGTCCCTATTTCCCAGGTGGGGAAACTGAGGCACGGAGGGTTGGCCCACTGTGTCGTGTGTCTTTAAGTGCAGAGCCTCTGAACCCTGGCCTGGTCCACCCTCCAGGGTCTGTGCCCTTAGCCGCTGCACATATCACCACTGTCCCTCTCTTCTGGACGACTTTTTATTTTTCTCTGTACTTGGGAAATCATTCTCGTGTGTAAAAGTAAATAGAATGAATACTTAAAGAGCTGGACTCCTGTCTCCTCGGCCCTGGCCTCCCTGAGCCCAGGAAATGGCTTCTAACATTATCTTCTCTGATAAAATAGAGGTGATGAAATCCCACGATGTTTGTAAGGGTCGGACGTGAGGCCAGCACATTGTCTCACACGATCTGCCTAAAAACCTGGGAGGCCAAGTTTCATCATCTTCATTTTACAAGGAGGATGCTCTAGCTCAGAGAGGTGGAGGAATTGACTGGGGTCCCACAGCCAAGCCGTGCCGGGGCCCACAGAACCCACTCCAGAGCCCGTGCTCTGAGCCCTCAGCCAGGCAGTTCTCCAGGTCTGCATTTCACGGGCGGTCGAGGGTGGAGGAGCGTGAACAAACTTGTCTTGGTTTCTGGTGGCCAGAGTCTGCGCTCCGAGCCCGAGTCATCTTCAGGCTGTTTTGAAAGCAGGTGGGCTGAATGCCTGTGCGGGGGGGCTTCTGTGGCTGTTCTTGCCTGGATGATGGCCTCTGTAGCTCTAGGGCATGACTTGACTTGCCGACTCCCTGTGCTTTGTGTTCTGTAGAGCTGTATTCACCAAGACGGTCTCTGAAGTGGGCAGGGAGACTCCCACATTGCAGCCCTGTCCTCCTCATGGCTAGACCACGGTCTTCAGGTCCTGATGTCTCTCATCCTGACCTATCGGACCAGCATCACCTAATTCAACAGTCAGCCCGAAAGGGGCCCAAGTTGAAGCCCCCCCGGGGGTGAAGGGGGAGTAAGCAAGAAAAGGAAAGCCAAGCCGCAAGAAAAAAGAAACTCCAAAACAAAAGGGCCTAAAAAAAACCAAAAAATGAATTTTTGCTGATCCTACCTGTCCACTGTAGGTTGAGTGGGTTTGACTCTATCCATCATGGCCACCCACAGAATCTGGGGGATAGAGCAGCTGTTGTACCAGGGGAGAGGAAAACCCTGGTGGTTTTGCACCAGCCACTAAAGATGATGCAGAGGAAGTGACAGGCATCACTTCTGCCCTGATGAGACACTGTGCAGAACAAGTCTTGAGGTCCCACTGAGCCACGTGGAGCCTGGAAGAAGGAGATGTGAAAACATTTGGCACAGCGCCTGGCAACCCAGGCCTGGGCAGGTAAACGGTCATGACTCAGCCCCTGCCCCTTGTCCCCAGGGGACTTCCAGTTCCAGTAATGGCCATGCTGATTTTTTTCCCATTCCAGCCTGGTGGCCTTGGTGGGTGCAACTGTCCCAAGAGACAGAGCCAGCAGCTAAGTGATGAGCTGGTGGTGTCCATGGAGCCTGGCTGTCCCTGGGCTGGGATTTGACTCCGCGTCTGTCTGGCTCAGCACCCAGGTCTCCTGCCTCTAAATCATGGTGACTTCAAAACCATCAGAAAATGGGGGCTGGGGGAGAGAGTGAGTCTGGGGTGGGAAGCTGTGGAGCAGGCAGTGCCACAGACCCCTGCCATCCAGGGACGAGTGAGAGTCCCCGAAAGGACCACATCCTGATGGGTGGACAGGCTCTGAGATGTCAGAGGCGCGAAGGGCCCCGTGGAGCTGGGGAAGGTGTGGGAGGAAGAGGAGGAGGAGCCGAGGGGGGGAGTTTGGGGCCAGACAGACCTGGGCTTGCAGATTTCCAAACCTGTTTAACCTCTCTTCTCCTGTTTAAAGGAAGCTACGCCATGGAGGGTTGCCACGAGGTTTAAAGGAGATTAGGAAAGGCTCCATGGAGTAGCTTCTGACTTGAGGGGTACTCAGCCAGCGGCATCCCTGAGAGTGGGCATTTCCTGGGGGCCAGGCCCTTTGCCAACCAGTGTGCACCAGCCAGACCAAAGCAGGCACCAGCGGCTGCAACCATCTTATGGATGAAGCAGGACGGAGTCCAGAGAAGCTGGACTGAGGTATCTCACCCTGACCTATTGGAACAGCATCACCTAATTCAACAGTCATCCCTGAAAGGTGCCTAGTTTGAGGCCCTCCCTGGGCTGAGTGTGTATTAGGCAGGATATGTAACGCTATGCTGCAGTAACAAGTAACCTGAGGTCTTTCTTACCACATGTGGCCCTTTTCTTTTCATTTTCTGTCTTGGAGGCTGTCAATCAAGCTCTGCCTTACCCCCCTCCCCCTTCCTTCTGCCAAATCCTTGGCTACCCTCAGCTCCATTTCCCTCCAGAGGGAATCACATCATTACAAGAGTCCCCCCCACACACAAAGACAAGACCAGCAGGCCCATGAAAGTCACTTGGTCCAGCCTCACACTGGAAATCGATGCACTGAGATGGCCCATCCCGCCTCTGTGGGCCCCGGGCCCCTGGGGGCCTCTCACCAGGCTCATCCTCTCCCATGGGTGGGCAGCGAGGCTCTAGGAAGCATCCCTGATCTCTTGCCCTCCGTGCCCTTGTGCTGCTCTCTGCTGCTACCAGAGAGCTGTCAGTCATCTGGCAGAGGAGAGGTGCTGGGAGAGGAAGCCAGGATCTCACTGCCACACCCACCCTCTGACGCCTTGGGGGGGCCTCTGGCCTGGGTCCTGGGAAATCCATGTCTTTTACTGCTTCACCGAGACTAGAGCCATGGCGGAGCCCCGGTAGGTGTGGAAGACATTCCTGGTTCTGGCTCAGCTCCTGGTGGGAGGCCCGGGCCTCTCGCAGAGCTGGCCCTCTCGCTGTTCATTGGCAGGAGGCTGACGCAGAGCCACTGTCTCCAGGGTGACCTGTCCAGTGTCTGTGGCTCAGGAAGCAGCAAGGGCAGAGGGTTCTCAGAGACTCTGGAGTCCTGGAAAATCAAAAACCAAAAATAAACAAAGTCCCCATTGCCCTGAAATGAATGGAATGAGCAAAGGTGTCTTCATCTTGCAACCCTTGGCCCAGGCGGAGCGGAGGTCCGGGGAGGTCCGGGAAGGAGAGAGACCAACTGCTGCCTGGGGACAGATGCTCCGTGGTAGGGCAGGGTGATCAAGTCTGATTTGGGGGAAGATCCTGAGGCTCCAACTATTTCATCCTAGAAGTGAGGCCTCTGAGACCCAGGAAGGCAAGGGCAATCTGTCACATGGCCACCCCAGAAATTGGTGGCAGAGAGAGAGAAATGCTGAGGTCCCCAATTAAACATTCAGTTCCTTAGGGAAGATGTCTCTGTGTCCAGGACATTGGGGAAAGAATGTGCTTCTCTCAGCCAGCACTGAGAGTGCCCAGCTGTCTTGGCCAGAGGTCAGGAAGCTATAGCCCAAGACCATATCTGGCCCACAGTCTGATTTTTCAAAAAAGTTTTATTGGAACACAACCACATTCATTTATGCACCCATGTCTAAGGCTGCTTTTATATTACAACAGGAGAGCTGAGCAGTTTCAACACAGCCAGCCTGGTCCACAAGGCCTAAAACATTTTCAGTCTGTAGTAAACATTGTGATTAAGTCTTAACAATTAAATATTAAAATATTTAGAGCTGGCCCTTTATAGAAAAAGTCTACTGTCCCCTTGTGCAGACACACGCCTGAAGGGATCTTAGACATAACTTACACAATGGTTTTATGAGCATTTGAATATCATCATTAAAGTCAGGTACTTGTTTCCAAATGGAATCTTCATGAATTTCCCCAGATTTAAAGCTGAGAGCAGCAAAGCCCCTCAGGTTGCAGTGGGGAGGGAGCTGATCCTCCCCCATCCTGACCTCCTCTCCTTCTGCTCTGGCCCCCAAGTAGAGTTGCCATATAAAATACAGGACCTGTGGTCACATCTGAATTCCAAATAGCAAATCATTTTTTAGTATAACTATATCCCAAATATTGCATAGGATATACCCCTATTAAAAAGCATTCCTTGTTTGAATGCAATCACAACCGAATCTATCTTCTGTGTAGTGGCTACTTCTGGCAACTCAACTCTTAGGTCAACCGCGAGGAAATATCTCTGTAAGAAATCCAGCCTCCAGAATAGATTTCAGAGTCAGCCTGGTATTTTGAGACTGGCCTTGGCCAGACCCTGTAGCCTCATGGCCAGCCTCCTCTTCCCATGTCCCATGCCCCATCCTTCCCTCTCCAGTGCCCACTGCTGCTCTTCCTACCCAGGTGGCCTGCACACACCCTGACCCCGCTCCGCTTACCCTCCCGGCCCCATACGGCAGAATCAACCTCTGCTCCAGGTGAGCAGGTGCAGGTGCGTGAGCAGGTGCAGGTGCCTGAGCACCGGACCCAGGAGACAGCAGAGCTGGGCCTCCTGGCCTGGGTTCCCCGTGCAGCGCAGCTTCCCAGAGGTGTTGTGTTGCAAAATCATGGGCACCTTGAAGTCACTAGCAGGTTTGTCTCTTTTTCTTCTCTCTGTGTTTTGAACACACAGGGTTCGAGTCACAGGAATGATCCTGGGTCTACAAGCCCTTTAAGGACATCTTCATAAACTCACCCCTGCCGCTCCTCTTGTGCTCTTGGCATGTGGTAGGCCCTCTGTAAAATAGGACAGGAGGGGGAGCAGGGTTCAGGGGAGGCCCAGCTGAGCACAGGCTCTGAGAAGCCCACGGCAACTCCAGGGAGTCCAGCCTGCAGCCAGGGCGAGTTTCTACAGAATCCCAAAAGTCTAAGCAATGCAGATCCCAGAAGGTCAGGGTCCCACTGACAACCCTGACTGTACCTTCGAGGAGGGCTGCACTTCTGAAGAGCTGAGGGTCACGGCTCCTCCACACCAGAAGGGAACATATCTCCCTTCCCTGGCTGACCATCCCGAGTCTGGGGTTTTCCAAGTGGAGAGCCTGTGGCCCGGGGGTTTCCAAGGTGTCACCACCAAGCAGCTGTCAGTATTTCAGGCCAAGACTCTGGGGTTCTACCATCTCCCAGGGGCTCCTCCTTTTCCTTTCCAGAAGGCCAGAGCCTTTCCTGGTGTCCTGCTTCTGGCCAGGCTAATGTGGGGAGCTGGCTTTTGGGAGGAGGAGCTTGGCAGGTCCTTGGCACAGTGCTGATGCCCTAGGGCTGCCTGGGGGAGGGTCCCTGGGCAGGAGCCAGAGGACCAAGCGGGAGGAGAGGTTGGGCTCCAAGTGGCTCTGCCGACTCCCACTCACTCCAGGCTGCCTTTAACTGAGGCAAAATTCTCCACTAATCTCTTTTATTTCCATTCAGTGCTTCTAGAAAAGACCCCGTGACATTTTAGTGTGGGGCAAAGAAAAGCGAGAGACACACACCTTTCAACAGAAGCAGCAGGTTGGAGGGTCCTGGGTGCACGGCGCTCAGTGTTGCTGGATGGCTCTGTAAACACAGCCCGGTGAGGTGGGAAGCCAGCCCTATAGAAATGGCCTCCCATAGAAATGCTCCAGGGTGCCCCGCACAGCTGGGTGGTCTAGAGAATGGAAAGACCCACTGGCTCTACACAAGGATCCTCCCTGGACCACGACTACTTCCTTAGGAGGAGTTGCCAGCTGTGAGCTACTCCCTCCAAATGCTTTGGATACCCATCGCCAGATCGCCTCTGCTCCACCACCTGCTCACCCCATAACCGCAGGCAGACTGCTTCATGCAATTGTGCCTCAGTTTCCTCATCTGGCACATGGAGATAATAACAGTCCCCACCCCCTAGGGTTGCTGGGCAGAATTAAAATGTTCCCCACACTGTTCAACTCGTAGGAAGCACTCGGGATCTGTTAGACTCCACTGCTGTTGTTTTATGATTATTCTTGCAGTGCCTCCAGAAGGTGGTGCCAATCTTTGTGACAGACAGCAGATTCTGCCTGCACCCGCTGAGTGCCTCGGTCAGGGATTGATCAGATGGAGACAGCTGGCGTCTTGTCCTGCATCTCCCGACACTGGTGATCTTGCTGAGTCCTTGTGAGTTTCTTCGTCGGTTAAATGAGCTCATGTACTTCAAGAAATGTCCAGAAAACCAGGAGCGCCTCGGCACAGATCAATAGGCCTTTTGCAATCTTTCAAAGGACTCAGGGAAACCTGTTGGACCAAGGAAAGATAAACCTTGAGACTTGTTCAGGAGATATTCCCAGAGGCTTTGGGACTGCTGTACATCTTACGTCTGTTTGTTTATTGATTGGAACACTCCACGGGCGTGGCTAGAGTTTAGGGAAATGAGTTCATCCAGTCGTTTATTCATCTGCTCTGTAGACACGGTGATGACATCCTGGGCGATGGCGGCTTTGGAGGTCCACGGGATGTACCTGTGGAAAAAGATAAAGGCAAGGACTTTGCCCTTTGGGCTCACCTTCTGGAGGGAGAAGCAGGTAATAAACAAGCGTATCAATAACCGATTGATTTCAGACTGTGACGAGGACTATAAAGGCGGCAGTCACAGCTGATGTTCTGAAGCAAAGGCCTGATGCTGCGGGCTGGAGGGGGAAACGTGGGCAGGATGATCAGGGAGTACTTCTCAGAGGAGGCTTGGGGCAGGGACTGCAGAAAGGCCCAGCGTGACCAGAACAGGGACAGAGAGGGGACAGCACAGGAGAAGAGGCCAGAGAAGTAAAATGGTATGGACCAAAGGTGCTTAGCCCAGTTCCTAGCACACACTAGTCCTTTATGACCATTACCTGGTATTGCATTTCTAAGCGCTCACCTGGGTACAGGTAACTCAGGAGGAATGAGAGAGAGAACCAGTGTAGAGATCTTGAGAGTCTTTCCAGATCCATGAATTTGTGACGAGGGACTTGAAAGCAATTCTTTCATTTGAGCACATAAATCCTCTCACTTCTAGTCTTGTTCATATTATTAATTAGCTTAGCAAACCTTCTTCCCCCTAGCTAATGCAAAGGTGCCCAGAATTATGATGGGTATTTGTTAGCGAGATCTCATTGTACTTCCAAAGACAGGTCTACATTTTCCTGTGAAAAGGCAAAGATTAATTCAAAATTCAGAACTCCTTTTTTTTTGAGTTTTGGAAGAATCTGACAGTATTCTAATATTAGCAAATTCGTAGATTCAGCAGAATTTCACTTTCACCTGCTGGGAAACTTCTCTTATCCCAGGGTCCTATGCTGCCTAGAAAGCCAATGTCCCAGGGCTTTCCTGGCTGTCCCGGGTCTGGAGATGGCCGTATGTCTCCCAAGGTCAGACCTTGCATAAGTAACAGGACAGGAGCCAGTGATAAAAGTGGAAGAGCTCATTCTACAGATAAGACCCAGACAGAAAAGGGGATGAAATTCTCCAGGATGCTAGTTAGGATATAAGTGGGACATGGGCATCTCCCCAAGATCCGTTAAACCACAGCCCAAGGAAGGCAGCTCCTCTTCCCAAGTGTGGATGAAATCCATGTGGTCAATAACAGCAATTAATTAATTGATTAATTACAGAGATATTCACTGATGCCTGGCATGTATCAAGTAATGTACAAGGCATTAGGAAAATAGGAGAATAAGGTTAAATATCTTTTCTTGGGGGCGGGGTGGGGAGGCGGGACTGCGTAAACCGAGCACACTATCCTGCCGGAGCAGGATTGAAGGCCTGCTAAGGAGGCCACACCTGAGCCTCTCAGAAGGGCTGGGTTTGCCCTGCCAGAGGTGGAAGGGAAGCGACCTAGGGCAGAGGGAACACATGAGTAAGACCTGGGGGTATGGCGCCAGGATCCTGCAGATCTTCAGAAGGCTGGACCCTGGAGCTGAGAGGTGAACGAAGGGAGGGGACGACAAGCAGGCCACCAGGTCATGAAGGCATCTGAGCATGCGCCAAGATCGGAGGCATCTCCTCTAGTGGGGCGGGGTGGGTGCACAGCTCAAGTCAGGCCAATCGGAGCCCTTCTCTGGGTTGGTGAATGGATGCTGGCCGGGGAAAGCCGGCGCTGCTCTGGGTGGCACCGGGCGCAGCGAGAAGCCTGGTTCTGTTCTGCCCGGGGCCTCCCCACCCCTCT